GCATACATACAGAAGAATTGCTTGGTGGCACCGCCCTCCTCAACGACCTCGATCAGACCCGGCTTCAGTTGCTCGATCGAGGGGACGTGGTTGGCCAGAATACCCATCTCTCCGGACTCGGCGGGGAGGTTGACCTGGACGACGGCCTGGGACGAGTAGAGCGACTATTGCGGGAATTAGCTGTTGTTCCCTCTGCTTCGTGTGCGGTTCTCCATGAGACGGGCGGGCGCCTGAGAAGGTATCCGTCCGGGGGCTTAGGCAGACAGCATGCGAAGAATCATACCTCGTGGGGAAGAGACAGGTTCAGCTTGAGCTATTGGAAGAGTTAGCAGAGGATTGATGGCACCAGAAATTAGAGAAGACAAGCCTTGTCGGGAGCAGCATCAGCGTAGGTTCTCCGCTGCAGCGGCTGGATGGGGAGCCGCATGACTGCGGGACGAGCTCTCAGAGCTGCGCGGGCAACGCGGAGGGTGTTCATGGCGAATGGTGCTGTCAATTGAGGCAATACGTGACAGAGCAAGCTCACGATGAACGTCAAATAATTTGAGTCTCAATGTTGAAATCGGGATATCGGAAGAAATGGATCTAACCTGATGGGGATTAGCTTGAGCACGGTTTACTGCTGAGGTAATGAGGTCTGTAGGTACCTCTTACTGCCATACCTATCACGTGAAGATAGGTCTATCATGATCAGTCATTCTATACTTGGGTACACTACCTACTGATTACATAAGGTAGCTAAGTATGCGTAAAGGTGCAGCTGGTCAAAGCGCTAGAACTTGTACTTCCAGTTGGCGTCCAGCTGGAAAGTTGACCTGACTTGACCAGAACCTTCGTCTCATCTAACATTAAGTACTATGTTACCTACCTACCTACCTACGTCAAAGTCTCACGATTTTCATATGCAGATTCTTATAGTACAGCTACGGAAAACGTGGTGACAGGTCGATCAACAAGGGATCTGATGCTCGGGTGACTACCTACATACCTGTGCAAGGTAAATCCTGTTGTGATGAAAATGATGCGCATCCGCCAATGTCGCCCATGGTACGGATCACACTACTTACATGGCGTACATAGTAGTCGAGGCCTATAGCCCTGAGTTCCCTGGTGATCGAATCCGGGGGTGGGGTATACTCGTATCTTCTGGAACAGACCTGTCCTCTACATATACACTACCTACACGTACAACATTCGCAACTTGCACGTCATGTCTAATCAGGGTCTACCTTACGTCACAGTCTGGACTGGTGGTGTGCTTTGGGTTTTCCGATGGCGTGAGTATTTTGTCATCAACCTGCGACTTGTGGTTGCGGTTGGGAAGACCGGTATTTTTATTGCACCGCGGGGAGCCCTGGCACGGCATTTTCAGTACTCCGTAGAGTAGGTTTCACATTCTGCTAACCTCAAGAGGCCTTGTCCATGTTGAGTGTTTATAGTTAGACTGAACTTTGCCCTGCCAAGTCCAGGGTTGATGGCGTTGTTGTAGCATGATCTTTTCACCGGACATCAATAAGACTAGGTAAACAACTACCTAGCTTTACTTCATTGATGTTACTACCTGCCGAGTTGGCTAATCAACAGTTCTAGGATCTAAACTTGGCGGTGGCTAAGATCATCTTTCTAACCTTATAGCATTATTCAGTACCAGACATACATATAGTACATTGATGAGGTATGTCCGGTTCTGCCGCATAGATGAGACATCAGTGCAGATCCGGACGCGTAGTCATCTCCAACTTTTTGGCATGGCAAGACGTGAAGCTAAACCCTCTTACCTTAGTCTAATGTCGACAACTGCATCACGTTGGCATACCGTTGCTCCTCAGTGATAGACCCCGCTCTTCTATGGACAGCCGGGACCCCGCCAACCAGCCGATTCCCATGTCAGGTTGTCATACATAGGAATAAACTCCTTCCACATTGTAACGCAATGGGCCCTGTAAATCCTACTGGCCCTGGTCCGGTTGCAAGTAAGCAGTAAACGTGAAGGAGGGGCTCGAAAGTTCTCAATCATCAGTTCCCCAAGTCCCAAGCCCTTACTCGGTATGGATCTTGCCAGGCTCGAATCACTGTCCTGGTCAAGCATTATATTGTCTAGTTGTACGTACGACTTTGCTACCCAATATTGGTGCCACACTGCCATTATGGCAAATCGAAAACTCGCTTTGCTACCAAGCAATAGGCGGCCCAACCACAGGATGCGGGGTTGTAGACGCTAGACAGCTCGGCCAGCAACTAGATCAGACAGATCAAGACTGCCCCCAGGGTGGGCTGTCCAACGCGGGAAACAAAGGCGGGATGGGTCCCAGATTACCGGAGGCGAGAGGTATTGAGTCTGCGAATGTAGCCAGGTAAGCCACAGCCAGAGGTCATGTTTGATGATCACCGCCGGCCTATCTAGTAGCCATGGGAATAAGTGAGGCTGTTAGAATGTTTAGCTCGACACCCGAAACGAGCGGCACAGTGATTGGGAACCGCCCATGGAAGCCACTAGGAGCGTGGGCTACCTTTTAGGTTAGAGAGATCATCATATGCAGTACCTAGGTAGGTTATCTACTACTACATCGACACATGATTTCTGGGATGTCATGAGCCTTTTTAGTCAAGAAAATGAAGTAGGTGGTGTAAGTCGCCGCGGTTGATGACCAAAGTCTCAGAGTCTCAAGAGTCTCCAAGTCTCCAGTTTGAGCTTCCTGCATTTCGGAAAGACGTATGAAGAGCTAATAAGCGGACATATACCACCATGTTGACCATATCACGAAGCCAGGAACCTTATCGGTAATGGCAGATAGGTAACCTGACCTGCCTCGAGGATCCCTGGCGTCACACGAAACCCAGGAATACATAGCACGTTTTGCACGTGTGATACGATGTCTGCGCTACTATTTTGGATGTCACAAAAAAACTGCAGGGTCCCAGTGGTTCCTCGGCCGAACCAGTGATGTCAGAGGGCATGATGGTGTGAATGTTTCGTGACTGGTCGAGGAGGTTAAAGATGACAAGAGGAAGCTAGGTACACTACACGTTAGGTTAGTGTAAAAAGGAGTCGAGCCAGCTACCTACCACGCGCGGATAGAGCTGGAATAAGATTGATGACTTGCGGGCCCGAGTTCTCCTTAAATGGTCCGAGAAAAGCCCTGCCACACAACTTTGAATGTCGCTGTCGCGTGAGAAAATAGCGAATCACAGCCAGGCGGACCGACATGGATTGGCATCACGCTACTCTCCGAAGCGTCGTGTCACCCTGCTTTACAAGGCGTTGAAGTTGGGATGGACGGTGATGGCAGACAAAGACAGAGAGAGGCCCCTTGGAGGCGCAACTCGGCTGCCCATACTGTTATGGGAATACTAGGTACTTACCTAGGGGTTTAACCCTGGGATGCTCTACCTAGCATCCTGCTATGGAGCTCTGGACTACCTAAGGTCTTAGTCTAAGGTCATCAGAAAAACTTTTACACCATAAGACGGTCAGTAGTCTAAGTTCACCGCCTTCTCGAAGGATCAGGTAGAGAAGAGAATACCGAACACGCGAGATTTACACCTGCGAACTCGAGGGTGATAAGATTAGAAGATGACCGGTACCTCCCTAGGCTGGCCCGGAGTGAAATAGCCGTGCCGCGTAAAGCTGAGATGGGAATGAGGCTGGGGCTCGTAAGTAGTATTCCCTAACCTACCTAGGTATGTAAGCCATCCGTACAATAGTGTACACTGCACTGCAATTTCTCACATCACTAATAATAACAAATAATTAGGTTAATAGTGTGCTCAGGGCCGGAATAGCACCTAAATCACCTTCGTACACTACCTACCTAGGTAGGTAGCTTTAGGTCAATACCTACCTAGCTACCTATGGAATGGACCCAGCCAAGCCGGGAATTATACGCACTACGTATATACTACCGGGATGGAGATCAAGTACCTCCATAGCAATATAACTAAATACCCTAGGTATGGAGTATGTACGGCCTACGGGGGGCCTCAGGTTCTCCCAGATCGCGTTGTACTAGGTAGATCAGGCTTAGTACCTTGGCCGCTTTTATGTTGACCAGTAGGTATCCAGTGCTGAGGTAGCAATAGGTATGTAGTATGTAGGTAGGTAGGTCTTACATTATCACCTCACCGTCTTATTCACATGTTCAAGTAAGATACGTACCTAACCTGATAAATGGAAGAAACGGATCGATAAAAACGGGTTGTAATATACTAGTAGCATACGGTTCCAGTTCTTTTAACTAGAAGAGGCAACATCTAATATACAACAGGAGGCAGGCCGGCTATTTTTATTTTTGCAAAAGACATCCATCCATCCATTCCTCCTATTCCTGTCTACCTGTAGGTAGTTACTAGGTTATCTACCTACCGATTCTGCACGCCACAAGCCAACTTACAAGGTACTTAGATTATGTAGTAGGTTTTACGAGGCATGCCCTCATCCATTTCTTTCTTAAGGTCGGTAGGTACGTACCGTAAGTTATTCCATTGACAATATTCGTGTCTGATATTGTTTGACTCGGATGAGACACGCCACAGTCATCTTTTTGATGTCTTGTTAAAGCAGAGACAAGTCTTGACAGTAATAATAATATTAATAGATATATGCATATTGATTGATGCTAGACTGATACAACATTTCCCACGAAGTTTATTGAAAGGTTATTGTCCAGGTATGTAGATATTAATGTTGGGCGGGTAAGCTATGTATCTCAATACCTATGTAGGTAGACAGCACTTGAGGTAGGTCAATAAGCAGTAAAGGTCCACAACCTACTAGTGAAAGTTACTTGGAAGAATTTAAGACCTGACTGGAAGACATGAGAGAACCAATCGTCGACTTACCCATTCCCACGTGATAGCGGGGCGAATCTTGGTCTAGGTAAAGTTCAAGGTTAGTCTAACCTGTAGTTGCCCCTCCTTGGCTTATCTTTCGCAGCAGTAAGTAGGACAGAATGAACTACATATGAACTTGTTTAAGCAGCCCAACCCCTAACGAATAAGAAGGCAAGATGGCCGAGTGGTTATGGCGGAGGGTTCAAGCTTTGCTTGCCTTGAAAATCAAGGCTGCTTTCCTCTGGGGCAACCCGCAGGGGTTCGAATCCCCTTCTTGTCAACGTTTACTTTTTGTCTTATTCCCTCTCATCTAGGGAATCTAATTTTTATGCTTTCTGTTGTAGGCCAGTTGATTTATAATGAAAATTTTTATCCCAATCATAAATTATAAATGAAGGAGATGGATTACATAAACTACTTAGCCTAACTTACTTGCCTCGTTACGGGCTGACACTACTTGTGTAAGCGGATTGACAGGTTGACTCTCCCGTCAACTGGAATAAAAGAAAGCAGAATGGCTGACCTCCCTACAGAGTCGTAGGTTGTACTTAGCTAGGTTAGGTAGGTGCACTAGGTATGTAGGTAGTAGGTATGGTGTTTAATTATCACTCATCCTACCTATCCGTTTTAGACGGTGCTCCAATAGGTAGCAGGAAAGACTTCGTTGTGCTTAACTAACCATTGCTAATTGCACAACACTACAACTCTGGCTTTATGTAAGTAGGTAGGTAGTAGGCAGGTAGCGGTAAGTTAAAAGCGGCGTGTCTCGGGTATGTACAATAAGGTTTTTACCTACGGGTTGAAGATGCAACCTGTAATGAGTTCCCAGGTATCCGCGAGCCGAAATTAATAACGCATAGGTACCTACATTGTACATAGTGTAGGTAGACCTTATTGCAGCACTGCACTGCTACTACCTAGGTACCTATCTAGGTAGCATCCAGTAGCAACGAATGCACAGAGGGAACATAATTAAAAAGAGTGGTTGAGTCTGGGGGCGCGGAAAACCCTTCTCGCTTGTGCAGATTGCATTGTCTACAGGTCAGAAGATTTGCTCCGTTTGCGCTGCAACTGTGGTCTGCTAATGGAGATCCTTTGTTGGCGGTCGAATGGATCAGGGTCCGATGGGTGGGCGATGGACGATGGGCGATGGACCTACGGGGAATATATTTTTCTGGTTTGTTGGAGGTAGCTAGCTGTAATTGGAGTGGTCGAGAAATTTCGCCATCGCAAGGCGCGCATGAAAAATAAAACAAGTGGGCTTGCATTTGGCAATGAGCAAGCGAACCCTGGGAAAATGGGAAGGGAGGAACTTCGTTCCCTTGTGCCCTTCCTTCCCAGTCCAGTCCTTTGTTGGCGTAAGGCGTGAGGGGCCAGGCTAGGCCGAAAACTGCTTACCTTTCAGCTACGGATTACCATTTTCAATTGCAGTTGACGACTGATGGCGCAAAGGGTGACCCGCCGATCCCGTTGGTCACTAGATTTTTATGCACCACATTCCAGGCTGTTTATTTTAAAATCCAACAAATTACGTGCAGTGCGCCTGCATTGTCTGTACTACGACCTACACCGTATGGAATAGGAATAGGAATAGGGAACAGAGGCTCAACCAGGAGAAGAGCGGCCGAGGCCCTGTTGTGCCATCTCGGCAGGGAGTACATGTACTTAGTGTCCATAGAGTACATATGTAGGTAGATCGGTTAAGATTAATTGCTTTTGCTGTGTTGTGTATCAATTGATGTACAAAGGTGAGAGATTTCTTGTCAGCTTAGCAAGCCCACAATGGAAACGTAGCATGGCGAAATCGGCTTTGGCTTCGGTGTTGGCGGGCGGCAGGTGTTGACTGATCGGCAACAACATGGGAAACAAGCAACACCGTGACCCAACCGGAAACTGAACCTGAACATGTTGATACATTGATACGGAAGGACAAAACAAGGGAAACAAAAAAAAGAATAAAAAGTGAAAAAGGAAAAATAGGTAAGAAAGAAAGAATGAAAGAAAGGAAACCCCAAAGAAGGAAATAAGACTGCAATGCACAGGGCAGCAAGCATACCGAGTGCCATCTCACCTAGCAGTTACCTAGGTTAGCGCAGGGCAGCAGGCAACGAAGAGAGATCATCAAAATACCTTTTCCGATGAACCAGTCATGCTCAGCATCCAGTCATGGTACTGATTTGGCCGAGTGGCTGCTGATACATATATGGTGGGTACCCGTAAAAAAAGGTTCTGTACCTACGGATGTGTATGTACACTACGTCCGTCTACCACCATACCTACATGCATACAGTATGTAGCCACAAGATTTCACTCTCTCCCCACCTGACCAAGCCAAGAATACCAAGATTTCAAGCCTTCCATTATCCGTTCCTGGGCAACTGGGCAATCTTTTTTTTTGTGGCAGATACTAGTGCAGTTGTACACTTACTATAGAGTTGATAGTGGGAAAGTACATACCTATTAGGTATGTACTAGTCTTATACGGAGTACCCGCTAAACCTGTGCTACCTTGCCGACTAAATAGGTAGTAACCTAGGTGGTACATACCTAGCAGTAGTTGTTTGTATGTACATTGTGAAGGAGCCCTTTTCTTTGCGCAGAAGTCAAGTTGCAACTACCGTCTTAGCAAGTAGGTAGTAGGTAGTAACCTAGATAAGTTACAGGAGGTAGGTAGTCCGCATACCGCTCATTAGCTATCCTTTCCTTTCCATTCTCCTGAGTCCCTACCTAAACCTTAGTCGAGCTAGGCTGATCTTATCCACCGTCTACTTCTACTAGTAACTCACTCACTGTCTAACCTTCCTGAAAACAGACTTTCTCACGACCAAAAAAAAATTCTACTATTCTAATTTCTCTCTCTCTTTTATTTCTCTTCTAAAACCTGCAAAGCTCTCATCCTTTCCCCCCCTTCTTTCCCACCTTTTTTTTTCTCCTCTATTGCAAACTTGGTGCTTGGATGTCGATCGGACTCCTGGTTGCTTACGCATACCCAAGGCCTCTGCTACCTACTGCGTGCACAATTAGTGGGTGATCGATTTATATTCCTCTTTGGCTCACCTACATAAACCTATTCGCCTACTTGGGAACAATACCACCCTCCGCCACCCATTGTCCCGACGTCATATTTTAGGTAGAGCCAAGTTAGGGCCAAGACTATCCAAGACCCCTACGCCCCCGTGTCCAACTCATCTGTCCAGTCTTGTACGGATGGGTTTTTGAGCCCACTGCCGCGCTCATTCACTCTTCAACCGTCTGCCGCTTTCCTCTAATTTTCCATAACCACCACTACCACCACCACCACCATCTTCTCACCTTGGCCAACCTGGTTAAACTACCTCGCATCGACCACATCACTCTCGACCTCTTGGCTCCCTCCGCGACCAAGCAAACCTCTTTACTGTTCATATACACATCAGCAAGCCTTAATTGTTTTGCGGGACACTATGGCTCTGTTATAGCAACACGGTCCCTAGGGACGCTCTTCTAGAGTCTTTCTTAGCCGAGGGACGAAAGCCTGCACCCTGTGCAGCCTCTAATACGTCTGCGCAGAAGCCTTCTACTCTTGTGTGAATTCACTAGAAACCACCATTCTTCGAACCCCGATTCCGATTATTACCTGCGACATTGTATTGCGTCTATTTAATCCTTTTTGGAAGACGTGCTTTGGAACCAACCGAAACCGACCAACACCTGGTCGCAAGAAACATTCTTAGACCAAGATCCCATTATCCTTTATCCTAGCCCGAATAGAGTAAATTCACGATCGTCATGACGAACGAACCGATACACGACTCGACCACGTCGAATGTTTTGGCGTGGTCCGCTCAGGGTACGCATATGCAACATGCTCCTGAAGAGGATGCCGTAGCCGACGTCGACGAGCCTCCCGACGAACGCCTCCCCGCTCCGTCGTCTGAGAACCAATTTAAGAGGAGTGCAGTTCGGAAAGTCGCCGACAACACCGAATCGTTGTTGACCAAGGCGCTTCACCAGCCCGAGGAGCCTGCGACGTTCCAGGTTAGCGGCTTGCCCGCGCGGCGCCGATCAATGAATAGCAGCATTAGCCTGGCATCGACTGCTGAACTCACGAGCGATACCGGGTTCACCAGCCCTGCGCGTACCAATACTCCGAGTCCGCCCTCACCTGTAATATTCCTTGCGCGATTAAATATGGAGATGTTCGAACCGAAGACACGCATTGCCGGTCTTCACGAGATGAATGGCGAAGTGGGACCGTCGACCAAGCAGCTGTCGAGCGATAGTGACAAGCCGAGAGACCCATCAATTGAGGCACTGACGAAGAAGCGCTGCATCAAGTTCGCGTGCGGACCGAAACCTGAGACAAAGAAGCCCGTGGCTCAGCCTCAGCCGGCAGAACCCCAAGCAACCGTAGAAAAGCCTCAGAGGAGAACCTGCATCAAGTTCGCCTGCCCCGCAAAGCCCGCCAGCCAGAACACGCCGCCCCGCCGCGAGGAGAAGCCGTCTGCCGGCCCCCAGCTGGTTGAACCATCTGCGAAACCAAAGCCTGGGTCGCCCTGCTCCGTGCGCAAATATCGATCTCCCTCAGCAACTCGTAGCCGCTCTCATCGATCTTCGACCCCGCGGCCATCTAATCAAGGCCTAGCTGCCGCTCGTTCGGCTAAATATTTGACCGTGAATACTAGCGATTTGAATAGCGAGTCATCGCACTTCCATGAATTTGCTTGCGATGAGCCTCGGGAAGAAGATTGGATTCTCCAGAATTTCCCTGCCACTGGGCAGCGTCTGACCATCAACGACACGCTGAAGAAAGAAAACGAGATCCGACGGCTCGCGGCAGAGGCCGAGGAAGAAGAGGAGCAAGATGATATTGATGCTGATGTAGACGATGAAGCGGATGTTCAAGAGGATCACGAAGAAGATGAAGATGATGTTGAAGATGAGGAAGACGTTGACTACTGCTCTGGCTACGGCTTTGATGATGAGGGTTCTGACGGGTACAACACCGATAATGAAGTTGGCTTCGCCGATTCGGACGATGACGATGACGACGGAGATTTACAGCTGTGGACACCTAGCCAAGGTCCTGTTATCCGGCTCTCTGGAGACGTGCCACTGATGCGCCGTCCATCTCTGGCCGGTATCAGGTCTAGCTCTGCTTCATCCTCTGATGCGGGCAATGACGTTGGCAGACCTGGTCCAGAGCGAACTCGTCGACTCAAGATTCGACCCGGGACCCCCGAGTTGCCAGATAGTACCGACTTTGTTTGTGGTACTCTTGATGAGGATCGAGCAATAGAG